ATATAAATTACTAGTTTATAATAAGTATATAATATGTCCTAGTATTTTAGGAATGTCACGGTTTTAGAGGTTTGTCACGTTAATATAAATTACTAGTTTATAATAAGTATATAATACGACCTTGTCTTTTGAGAACGTAACGGTTTGAGAGGTTTGTCACGGTAGTATAAATTACTAGATTATAATAAGTATATGATACGTCCTAGACGATTAGGTATGTCACGGTTCGAGGGGTTTGTCACGGTAATATAAATTATTACTTCATAATAAGCATATAATACGCCCTTGTATTTTGGGAATGTCACGGATTGAGAGGTGTGTCACGGTAATATAAAATACTAGTTTATAATAAGTATATAATACTTCCTAGTCTTTAAAGAATGTCACGGTTTGAGGGGTTTGTCACGGTAACATAAATTATTAGTTCATACTAAGTATATAATACGACCTTGTATTTTGGGAATGTCACAGTTTCAGAGGTTTGTCACGGTAGTATAAATTACTAATTTATAATAAGTATATAATACGTCCTAGTCTTTTAGGAATGTCACGGTTTGAGGAGTTTGTCGAGTTAATATAAATTACTAGTTTATAATAAGTATATAATACGTCCTTGACGTTTAGGTATGTCACGGTTCGTGGTGTTTGTCACGGTAATATAAATTACTATTTTGTAATAAGCATATAATACAACCTTGTATTTTGGGAATATCACAGTTTGAGTGGTTTGTTTCTGTAATATAAATTACTAGTTTATAATAGGCATACAATAAGGCCTTGTCTTTTGCCAATGTAACGGTTTGAGAGGTTTGCCACGGTAATATAAGTTACTAGTTTATAATAAGTATATAATACTTCCTAGTCTTTTAGGAATGTCACGGTTTGAGGGATTTGTCACGGTAATATAAATTACTAGTTTATAATAAACACACCATACGTCCTAGTCTTTTGGGAATGTCACGGTTTGAGAGTTTTGTCACGTTAATACAAGTTACTAGTTTATAATCAGTATATGATACGTCCTAGTCTTAGGAATGTCAATGTTGAGGTGTTTGTCACGGTAATATAAATTACTAGTTTATAATAAGTATATAATACGGCCTTGTATTTTGGGAATGTCACGGTTTGAGAGGTTTATCACGGTAATATACATTAATAGGTTATAATAAGCATACCATACGTCCTAGTCTTTTAGTAATGTCATGGTTTGAGGGGATTTTCACGGCAATATAAATTACTAGATCAGGCAAATCTCGATTTGAAGAATTAATTTGGGAAAATAGATTATGTTCCTTAAATTCGATACGTCGCTCATTTCATAAAGAGGGAACAAGATCTCTAGATTACCGCATTTAATGAACATCGGTTTGTTAAATCCAAGCCAGTCATACATAATCAATCCTATCAGTTTTGACTCGTAGTATGTTAACATGGTTGTTAGTAATAGGTTTTAAAGCCCATACGATGTAAGTTAAGCTCGACTTAAAGGACTAGTTGGGGTGCGTCTTTCTTAAATCCGATAAATCTCTTATTTCGTAAAGGAGAATTAATTTCTGTGTGTCACGTCATTTAATTAACATCGTTTTCTTCAATTCAATCCAATCAGCACGTAAAACCGTCTAAAATATCAAATAAAACAATCGTACCTACCTAGAATTTGAGATGTGTGGAACCATCTCTTAATTGCTGGTGTTACCCGGTCCACTCTGACCCGGAGTGGTAGCACCTGTTAGGGGTCCCAACTATTGGTAAATAGGTGACCCCCCCACCTTATCTGGTGTCAAAACACGATGAAAGTGTAAAAAAGGTTTTAATATCAGTAATAATTTTGTGTAAAAATATTGCCAGAAATACATTATTACCAGCAATACATTGTTGAAAAAAAATATTACCAGCAATATATTATTTGAAAAAAAAAAAAGTATTACCAGGAATACATTTTTTGAAAAACAAATATTACCAGGAATACATTTTTTGAAAAAAAATATTACCAGCAATAAATATTTTGAAAAAATAAAATATTACCAGGAATACATTTAAAAAAAAAAAAAAAAAAAAAATTGTCGGCATTAAATAATCCATTGAAACCAAACGAAGCGAAACCAAAAACGAAACCAAAACTAAACCAAACCAAACCAAACCAATCTAAACCAAACAAAAAACCATTAAAAAATTTGAGGGATCGGTAAATGATTGATACAAACCAACATATTGTGGACAGTACAAGTTTACCAAAGATTGTCATTAAAAATAGCTGAAATTTTTCATTTCGATCAAGACTTATAGCTAACGAGGTTGACATGTCCCTAGTGACGTAATACGGATTTAATGACTGATTTTTTTTTCTGGCATTTATCTAACTTTGTTCGGTAGAAACAAAAAAAGTTTGTTCGTTATGGCCCATATGATCCATAAGTGGTTCCTTAAATTGGATATTCCTTATGTTTTTTAAAGCAAGTCTTGAAGAAAGTCGAAGAATGAATCCCAATCAGCATGCTGGTAATGGAAAGAGGTCTTATGAATAGGAGGTTCTTCTCTAATTGATGACTGAAACGAAATATCAACAGATACTGCAGCGTGATCCTGAATTGGATAGTGCTGCTAATCTCGGCAAGAGCTTGGAGAAGAGGTAGGGAAACGAGTAGGGAGATCCACGATTTGAGCAATGGAAAAATCAAGTAAAGAAGCCTGTTGCTCGGATTTACTAGGGAAACGAGTAGGGAGATCCACGATTTGAGCAATGGAAAAATGAAGTAAAGAAGCCTGTTGCTCAGATTTACTCGGGAAACGAGTAGGGAGATCCACGATTTGAGCAATGGAAAAATGAAGTAAAGAAGCCTGTTGCTCAGATTTACTAGGGAAACGAGTAGGGAGATCCACGATTTGAGCAATGGAAAAATGAAGTAAAAAAGCCTGTTGCTCAGATTTACTCGGGAAACAGTAGGGAGATCCACGATTTGAGCAATGGAAAAATGAAGTAAAAAAGCCTGTTGCTCAGATTTACTCGGGAAACGAGTAGGAGATCCACGATTTGAGCAATGGAAAAATGAAGTAAAGAAGCCTGTTGCTCAGATTTACTCGGGAAACGAGTAGGGAGATCCACGATTTGAGCAATGGAAAAATGAAGTAAAGAAGCCTGTTGCTCAGATTTACTCGGGAAACGAGTAGTGAGATCCACGATTTGAGCAATGGAAAAATCAAGTAAAGAAGCCTGTTGCTCAGATTTACTAGGGAAACGAGTAGGGAGATCCACGATTTGAGCAATGGAAAAATGAAGTAAAGAAGCCTGTTGCTCAGATTTACTAGGGAAACGAGTAGGGAGATCCACGATTTGAGCAATGGAAAAATGAAGTAAAGAAGCCTGTTGCTCAGATTTACTAGGGAAACGAGTAGGGAGATCCACGATTTGAGCAATGGAAAAATCAAGTAAAGAAGCCTGTTGCTCAGATTTACTAGGGAAACGAGTAGGGAGATCCACGATTTGAGCAATGGAAAAATTTGAAAGTCTATATACGGACAACATCAGTAATATAGCCACATGTAATACACATTAAAATCATCGAACACAAAGATACGGACGTTAAATCGACGTTTTATTGTAGCGTGTTTAATTTTCGCGGAGTTATCCTTGTTTTATACCTTTGTAATAAGTTTAATAAAATTAAGTTTATTAAGCTTGTTTATTTTGATGCTCCAAATCGAAACCTCTCTCTCTTAATCGTCTTAGAGAACCTTGCTTCCCTTCCATCATAGTTGATGCTAAACCCCGGGAAAGTAACTTATTGCGCCTCCCCGGTCACACGTTCTCCACTGACATGAAGTGGAACAGTTATTTGGAATGAGTTCTAGGTCTACAGCTAGGAAAGTTGGTTCCCTGTGGTTATATTATGTTTAGATAGATAGATAGATAGATAGATAGATAGATATATTTAATTTAGATAGATAGAAAGATATGGATATATTTAGTTTAGATAGATAGATAGATAAATAGATAGATAGATATGTTTATATTTAGTATAGATAGATAGATAAATATATTTAGTTTAGACGGTATTTGCTTGACCCCCCACGAGGTCAGGTTGTGACACAAGGTCGGTTTAATGTGCGGAGCCCGGCGCGTGCACCCAGGCAAGCAACAAAATTTCCCCGAGTCCCCGCAACCGTCGGTTGCGCTGGCCTCGGTGCGTGCACCGATCCTTCTCTCTGGTGCAATGAGAAGGCGCCGCCTCGGGCAGCTGTTCCCCAGGGCCAGGCACCTCTCAGTATAATTTTCCTCAGTTGCGACTCTGTCCTTTGACGGAGTCGTCCCTGAGCGCACTCTGTCCAAGGACAGAGACGCAACTGAGAGATGGTAAATAAAGAGTATAAATTACTTAGAGTAATTTACACTATAATATATTTAGTTTAGATATATTGATAGATAGATATGAATATATTTAGTTTAGATAGATAGACAGGAACATATTTAGTTGGGTTACATAGATATGAATATATTTAGTTTTTATAGACAGATATGAATAGATATATCGAAGCGAAGAATATATATATATATATATATATATATATATATATATATAATTGGTATACACGGAATGAATTCAATAACCAACAATTACTATTTTGTAGTGATTTTTATAACATACTTATGTTATAAATTTTTTTATAAAAATAATTAAATAATATATATATATATATATATATATATATATATATATATATATATTTAAATATAAGGATCATATTTCCCAATTTATTATTAAAATAGATAGAAAAGTATCTCGTTCAAGAAAAAAATGTTGGATTTAAAGGCGCCTTTTGCACGACATTTCTTCAAAAAAATAATCATCGGCAGAAGTTGATAAGAAAAATTATTATCAACGATCGATGGTAAAAACAATAGATTACCAAGATATAATAAAAGGGGGAAACTTAAAGGAAGAGAAAAAAAAACTTATGAATACTAAATATTTTGTAGGTTAAGCAGTAATCTCTCCGAATAGGACCAACCTGAATTCATATATATTTGTTCATCTCTCTCTCTCTCTCTCTCTCTCTCTCTCTCTCTCTCTCTCTCTATCTATCTATCTATCTATCTATATATATATATGTATATATATATGTTCGGACAAGAGCTTTCTTTTCTGGACAATGAGTGTGTAAAATGTTTAATAATTCCGAGCGCTTTCGGCTATACCTTTAGCCATTATCAAGGATGATTCGATTTTTCAGCTTAATTGAGTGTGTGCATTATGCGTATGTTTTAGTGTGTTGTAGAGATGTTTTTAATTTCCGAATACGGTTAGCACATTGTGGCCTTGTTCGTAGTTAATATTGTTAAGAGTTGGCTTTTTCTTTTTTATTATTAAAGCTTTCTTTATTTTTAATCTTTTTTTTTTTACAAGTGGATGAAGTTATTATATTTGTGTTTTCTGCTAGTATGTTTCTAATGGAGTCGGGTAAGATTGTTGTGTGTTTAAATGGATTTCTAATGGAGCTGTGATCAGATAGGTGTAACGTAAAGCATCTGGATAAGCATGTAGTTGTGTAACCGATTTATGAGTCTGGTTTGATCAGGAACACAGTTCCTTAAGAGGCATTTGAACTCATAAATAATGTTCGTTTGTTGTAATTTTGACTTAGCTGGTGTGTTGTTATTTTTGAGGATAAGGTTAGCTGTCTTAAATTTTTTATCATAGATAATTAATTTGATTTTTTTTATTCAGGCCAATTGGGGTAGTGCATTTCTTTATAATGTCTTATATATATATATATATATATATATATATATATATATATATATATATATATATATATATATAATAAAAGGCTTTAAACACTAATATTCCATGGTCATAATTTATTCCATTGGAATCGTAAATACGATCCAAATCATCAGACCTATAAATCTATATATATATATAGACAGGTGGGAAGAGATGCGGAATACAGATAGAAAGATATGAAGATACGAGACTACAGCACAATAATTTTAAGTTTATTTTTACAGTGAGCCATTTCTTTGTTGAAGTCTTCTTTTAAATGTACTCCTATTGTAGGCGGAAATTATCCAAGATAATGAAAACAGCACCGGCGATGTGCTGAAAATGTTATTTTCGCAATATGACAGTCTTAAAAGCGTTTTCTATAGCAGTTGAGGTCGAGTTTTCTTATTGCTAAAACAATATCAACAACAACAAAAAAGCTTGCTCTTTTGCCAAAGTCTTTGTAAAACAAGAAGAAGAAGAAGAAGAAGAAGAAGAAGAAGAAGAAAGAATCATGACTTGTCAGATGATCAGTTGTTTTCGTTTCACCGAGGAATAATTTCCCGATTCACGCTCAGCAGACATTCAGTTAGCAAACAATAGTAGCCAAGAATAGAGAACGTTCGCTATGATTTGTACAACAACATTCAATTGCTGAAGAGACGAATAATGGTCGAGAGGGAAAGATGGAAGTTGGGGAGTGGGATGTAATTTAACGTCATAAGAAATTGATGTCATCGATCTGTTTTTCATGTTTGCATGTGGACACGGGAAAGGACAACATTTGCAAGCAGGTAATCGATTAACTTCATACTGTAGGCGCTTATCGGAAATTTACACGAAGTCTGATAATATCATAATATCTATCTAGTTGCTTTTGTTATGATCTATGCAAGTCTGTTCACATCTTATTTTCATATCTATTCCAAGCTGCTTAGCATTTTCTACGGAACTAAATTTTAAATTCAATAAAAACAAACCAAGAAGGACAAAAGGATCCTTGAATGGAACTGGCGGTGACAACAACAATATCAATGGTTTGAAGCACGCAAACCACTTTTTTATTGTCAAACGTTTATTATTTTTGTTTCTTCATATCTATCTATCTATCTATCTATCTATCTATCTATCTATCTATCTATCTTTTGCAGTCTGTTGATTATCTCTCTCTCTCTCTCTCTATCTATTGCTGTCTGTCCATTATCTATCTATCTATCTATCTATCTATCTATCTATCTATCATGGCTCTGTGTAGAGCGGCGTTATAAGACCAATTAAAAAAAGAAGAAAACTAATTATTAAAATAATTAATTTTAAAGTCTCAAAACAAGTTAAACTGCTACTCTTCATACAATGTAGCAGATAAATAGATATGAACAGAATTAGATAGATAGATAGATAGATAGATACGAAGAGACGGGAATAGTAACATACAAACAGACTGCCTAGAGACACAGCTGAATATAAACAAACATAAATAAGATAAGATAGATTGGTATGTAGAGGTCAGAATAGAGAGATATGAACAAAGTGATACATGTAAGTGTGAAGAGATGAGAAATACAGATAGATAGATAGATAGATAGATACGAAGACATATGAGAGATATAATTTATTTTATATGAGAAATATAAAAATGATATCCTCCTTAGGTTTACCCATACGGATTACCTAGTTTTTCATAAACTATATATATATATATATATAACCTTTACCTTGACGATCCGCGTAGGTAGAACCTAGGTAGGTTTGCTTGTCTCTTTAGGTATTGAACTCTTTGTTTAGTTATTTTTACTTTACTCGTGTCGGAGGTTTTTTCGGACATTGAACTTTGATTCTAGACGATTATTTTCGCCGGAAATACATGTTCTTAGTTCTTTCTTTTTTTACCCTTGGGTATTAGTTTGTTCATTTACAAGCGTAAACACTTAAGGTTTTGCCGGACGAGTATAGATGCTTATACTTATAAGATTATTAGTATTATATATATATATAGATATGGAGAGGATACATATATGGATAGATAAGAATGTACACACACACACACACTCACACACACACACACACACACACACACATATATATATATATATATATATATATATATATATATATACAGTGTAACCCAGATATAAGAGAGTTGTCGGGACCGGAGAAGTCTCTTCTATCCGGGTTTCTCTTATATCCGGGTTTTGTCTATTTTGTATACATTAACACAGGCTCTAATTTGGGACCAGAGAAAATCTCTCTTATATCCGGGTTTCTCTTATATCCGGGTCTCTTCTATCCGGGTTACACTGTATATATATATATAGATAGATAGGTAGATATTTCTGGACAACCTAATATATATATATATATATATATATATGTGTGTGTGTGTGTGTGTGTGTTGAATTAACCAGAAAGCCCTGACTCATTTATGAAACGGAAAGAAAACAATAAAGTCCTTCATTCTCGATGATCTTCTGCTACCGATCAGCTAACATCCGAATCTGCCCCAGATACCAGTTCGCTGGTTTTGAATCAGAAAACTGTACACACACTTCCTTCACTTCATCAAAAGTGTTCAGTCGCTGGTCGCCTAGAAAGTGTGTCATTGAGCTGAATAGACCATAGTCACTCGGTGCAGCATTCGGACTGAATGGTGGATGTGGAAGAATCTCAACACTGTCTATTTGTTTGAACTTCTCCTTAGTCAACCTGGCATTGTTTTGCTGAAACAAAATCCGACCTCATTTGACCAAAGCAGGATACTCCTTCTTTAGTTTGTCGTACGGCGGGTCTAGCTGCTGGCAATACAGTTTAGTGTTGATGACGCGACCGTGTGGAATAAGACCGAAATGCAGTACTCCTTGGAAATTCCACCTGACAGAGATCAAGATTTGTTGTTTTCTTTCCGCTTCCTAAGTGAGTCAGGACTTTCTGGCCAACCAAATATATGTGCTTAACAATCTGATCACCCTAATGCTTCTTACACAGGGTAATCAAAGGAGGTTCAAAGAGTCTCCCTTGACCCATGGATTTTTATAATAATAAATTATATAACTGATTTAATAATTTAACCAGCCTAGTGCTTCTCAGCTATTATAATTAAAATTCGTCATACATTCTAAAACACGTAGAGTATATAATGTTTATATACTTACATTATATATGTTCCAAGATTTCCATAGCCGGGTGTGATAGTGGGACAAGATCCCATTGTCTATAAAATGGTTCCGTGCTAAGTTCAACACCAAGCCGGTAAATAGCTGAAGGCGGAAAACTGGTGCCTCATTACCAGCCTCTTCAGGTCGCTGGAGCTCGACAGCCCAGTAAGTTCATCTAGGGCAGAAAAACCCTGATTTAAAACCTCCGCAACATTGCGCTCATATCCAAACACGGAAAAGGCTATGAAAGTAAATCCAGACAAAAAAACCTGGAGTGGAGCTCCGAAAGATGTTGGCTGTCAACACCGACAAACTTCCGGCAACACCTTCAGCCAAGCCGTCCCCAAATGTAATGTCCTGTATTCCTTTGGATTGTTTTCGGTACGTCAGTGAGGTCTGGGCAGAATACGGCCTTGATATACTATCGCCCAGACCTGGAAAGGTCTTTTAGGTTTCATTAGTAAAGGACTGAATTTTGAACAAACAGGACTCTTCCCTTATATCGTGAGATAAATGGAAACCTACCACACACGATTGTGCAAATTAGTTATACAGGAAAATATGGAGGCCATGATCACCTACACCCTTGTACAAATTAATTCAAACAAAACGAATAATTCCGTTATTATTTTTTTTTCGTATTTTTCCAATGAAACAAGCCCCAGTCCATATGTTAGTACTTCGTATGTCCATTCCACGAAGTCGTTCCTTGCAGATTGACCACAGATTCTCGATTGGATTTAAATCAGGAGAGTTTCCAAGCCAGTCTATAGTAATTTGATTTACTCATTAGTAAGGATTGCCATTGTGTTCGTGCAGCGTTACAATTTTCGTACGCTACCTTGGAGTAACGCCCATTGCAGACAATGGCCGTAGGACAACTAATCGACAGTCGAGATAATAGTGTCTGGACGTGATGAAAATCTGATTCAATCACGGATGACGCAATATTTTTCAAGATCAAACAAATTTCATCATATGCCCCGAAAATTGATTCATATGACTGTACACCACTGCAAATGACCTAATCTGAGGAAAAAATAGAAATCGATTACATCCTGTCACTCCAATGGATCTAAAACGGACCGTAAGTTGAAAGAAAGGAAACTAAAATAGTTGTTTCAATTAATTTGCAGAAGGGTGTACATCTTATGTATTTAAAAATATTTATATACTTTTTTTATGCCTATCCGAAGATGATTTATCTGACTTTAACAGAAATTGATTAGTGGATTAAGTGGCACCCCTGGGCACGTGCCATGTTTTACATACGTAGACACATCACTGTCCCTCAGCAATTAATGCCATCATCACTTATCCATTAGGCGCTTTTACTCGCATTTAAACACTTTCATTTTTCAACAAAATCATGTTTCGTCAGGGCAGAAAAATCATGAAGGATTATTCTGTTGCGTGTGTAAAACATATTTATCACATTGTTTTATCAAGTTTTTACAAAAGGTTTGCACAAATACCTCTTAATGCACATTGTAGCAAACGTTTGAAAATGACAAAAATCAGAGAAATCTGATCTGTACCTACAGCGAACATAGTGATTGTGTTTGTCTCATAATATCCAACAAGGGAGAAAAGTGAATGCAATTTTGTGTATGTGATTTTTCATGCTGTGTGTATAATAAATCATATTTTGAATCTATTGGTTCCAATGTTGGTTTGGTTTGTTGTGTTTTATGGCACATCAACCTCAATGGGTTACTTAATGCCAACAAGATTTTTATTGATGGTTTGTTTTGTTTTGTTTTGTTTTACGGCATATCAACCTCAATGGGTTATTTAATGCCAACAAGATTTTTTATTGATGGTCTGGTTTGCTTCGTTTTGTTTTACGGCATATCAATCTCAATGGGTTATTTAATGCCGACAAGATTTTTATTGCTGGTTTGGTTTGTTTTGTTTTGTTTTACGGCATATCAACCTCAATGGGTTATTTAATGCCGACAAGATTTTTATTGCTGGTTTGGTTTGCTTTGTTTTGTTTTACGGCTTATCAACCACAATGGGTTATTTAATGCCGACAAGATTTTTATTGCTGGTTTGGTTTGCTTTGTTTTGTTTTACGGCATATCAACCTCAATGGGTTATTTAATACCGACAATATTTTTATTGCTGGTTTGGTTTGCTTCGTTTTGTTTTACGGCATATCAATCTCAATGGGTTATTTAATGCCGACAAGATTTTTATTGCTGGTTTGGTTTGTTTTGTTTTGTTTTACGGCATATCAACCACAATGGGTTATTTAATGCCGACAAGATTTTTATTGCTGGTTTGGTTTGCTTTGTTTTGTTTTACGGCATATCAACCTCAATGGGTTATTTAATACCGACAATATTTTTATTGCTGGTTTGGTTTGCTTCGTTTTGTTTTACGGCATATCAACCACAATGGGTTATTTAATGCCGACAAGATTTTTATTGCTGGTTTGGTTTGTTTTGTTTTGTTTTACGGCATATCAACCTCAATGGGTTATTTAATACCGACAAGATTTTTATTGCAGGTTTGGTTTGCTTTGTTTTATTTTACGGCTTATCAACCTCAATGGGTTATTTAATGCCGACAAGATTTTTATTGCTGGTTTGGTTTGTTTTGTTTTGTTTTACGGCATATCAACCTCAATGGGTTATTTAATGCCGACAAGATTTTTATTGCTGGTTTGGTTTGTTTTGTTTTGTTTTACGGCATATCAACCTCAATGGGTTATTTAATGCCGACAAGATTTTTATTGCTGGTTTGGTTTGTTTTGTTTTGTTTTACGGCATATCAACCTCAATGGGTTATTTAATGCCGACAAGATTTTTATTGCTGGTTTGGTTTGCTTTGTTTTGTTTTACGGCATATCAACCACAATGGGTTATTTAATACCGACAATATTTTTATTGCTGGTTTGGTTTGTTTTGTTTTGTTTTACGGCATATCAACCACAATGGGTTATTTAATACCGACAAGATTTTTATTGCAGGTTTGGTTTGCTTTGTTTTATTTTACGGCTTATCAACCTCAATGGGTTATTTAATGCCGACAAGATTTTTATTGCTGGTTTGGTTTGCTTTGTTCTATTTTACAGCATATCAACCTCAATGGGTCATTTAATGCCGACA